AGGCGCCGAGCCCCCACTTTTTCTTATACATATAGTATAGTGCATTATCTCTCAAACACACACACATGCACACACACACACATATGGAAGACAGCCAAAACATTGTATATTACCAACTTTTCTATAGGATTTTGATCCACATCAATATTTGAGATGGGGCCAGACATGGTGGCTCACACTTGTAATACCAGTAGTCTGGGAGGCCAGAGCAAGTGGATTGCTTGAGCTCAGAAGTTCGAGATCATCCTGAGCAAGAGTGAGACCTCATCTCTTAAAAAAAGAAAAAAAATAGCTGGGCAGCACCTGTGGCTTAGTGAGTAGGGCGCCGGCCCCAAATACCGAAGGTGGTGAGCTCAAACCCAGCCTCGGCCAAACTGCAACCAAAAAATAGCCGGGTATTGTGGTGGGTGCCTGTAGTCCCAGCTACTCGGGAGGCTGAGGCAAGAGAATTGCCTAAGCCCAAGGAGTTGGAGGTTGCTGTGAACTGTAACTCCACAGCATTCTACTGAGGGTAAATAAGTGAAACTCTGTCCCCCTCACCAAAAAAAAATAGCGTGCTGGTGTAGTGGGTGCCTATAGTCCCAGCTACTCAGGAGCCTTGTGTCAAGTGACACTAACTCCACAAGCAAAGGGCATGCAACCTCTGTCCAGAAATCTTCCAGGTCTCACTGTAATATGCATCTTTTATAATAAAACTGTAATCTGGACAGTGCCTATGGCTCAAAGGAGTAGGGGGCTGGCCCCCATATGCTGGAGGTGGCGGGTTCAAACCGAGCCCTGGCCAAAAACTACAAAAAAACAAAAAAACTGCCATCTTAAGTATAGAGCTTTCCTGAGTTCTATGGATTTCACTTGAGGATCACTTGAACCCGAGTTTGAGGTTGCTGTGAGCTATGATGCCAGGGCACTCTACTAAGGGCAAGCAGGTGAGACTCTGTCTCAAAATAATAATAGTAATAAATTTAAAAAAAATGGATAATCATTATAGTAAATTATTTTCATAGTCTCCTTCCTGAGCTTTCTACATTATAGTTTATTAATTTCCATGTAACTCTTACCCATTTTTTCAGATCAGACAAATATCCTTGTGAACTATATTTCATTACATACTAGATATTATTTTCATTTTAATTTTCCATTTCTATTATAAAAGTTTAACTTCTACAAATAGGAAAAAAGAATATTTACCATTTTATTTTCTTTCAGATCTGGAATCAATGTGTGAAACCAAGTTATTGTCTCTAAAGAAGGAAGTATATGAAATAGAATCATGCCAGAGGGAAATGATGGGACTTACAAAGCATGGCTTTGAGTATTCCAGTTTTAGAGATGTTTTGCATTATAGAAGCCACTTTGCAAGACAACTGGGATATCAAAATGAGCATTTCAGTCAAGAAATATTCAGTCATGAATACATGCCCACATTCATTCAACAGACATATCTTACTCTGCATCAAATAATTAATAATGAACAGAGACCCTATGAATGTAAGAAATGTGGAAAGGCCTTCAGTCAGAATTCACACTTCATTCAACATCAGAGAATTCATATTGGTGAAAAATCTTATGAATGTAAGCAATGTGGGAAATTCTTTAGTTGTGGTTCACATGTTACTCGTCATCTGAAAATTCATACTGGCGAAAAACCCTTTGAATGTAAAGAATGTGGAAAGGCCTTCAGTTGTAGCTCATACCTTTCTCAACATCAGAGAATCCATACTGGTAAGAAACCCTATGAATGTAAGGAATGCGGGAAGGCCTTTAGTTACTGTTCAAATCTTATTGACCATCAACGAATTCACACTGGTGAAAAACCCTATGAATGTAAAGTATGTGGGAAAGCCTTTACTAAGAGTTCACAACTTTTTCAACATGTGCGAATTCATACTGGTGAGAAACCCTACGAATGTAAGGAATGTGGTAAAGCCTTTACTCAGAGTTCAAAGCTTGTTCAGCATCAGAGAATTCATACTGGTGAGAAACCTTATGAATGCAAAGAATGTGGCAAAGCCTTTAGTAGTGGCTCAGCACTTACTAATCATCAGAGAATTCACACTGGTGAAAAACCCTATGATTGTAAGGAATGTGGGAAAGCTTTTACTCAGAGTTCACAGCTTCGTCAACATCAGAGAATTCATGCTGGTGAGAAACCCTTTGAATGTCTTGAATGTGGAAAGGCCTTTACTCAGAACTCACAACTTTTTCAACATCAGAGAATTCATACAGATGAAAAACCATATGAATGTAGCGAATGTGGAAAGGCCTTTAATAAATGCTCAAACCTTACTCGACATCAGAGAATTCATACAGGGGAAAAGCCCTTTAACTGTAAGGAATGTGGGAAGGCATTTAGTAGTGGCTCAGATCTCATTCGTCATCAGGGAATTCATAATAATGAATAATAAATGTTAAAACTCTTGTCACCTCTACTTGGGAGGCTGAGACAAGAGAATCACTTAAGCCCAGGACTTGAAGGTTGCTGTGAGCTATGATGGTACAGCACTCTACCCAGGGCAACAGCTTGAGACTGTCTCAAAAAAAAAAAAAAAAAAAAACTCTTGTCATCTTCCAAATATTTTAAATAAAACTTTATGTTTAATAATAATCCTCTGAAAAAAAATAATAATCCTCTGCTCAGAGACTTGTAGCTCAAGTGGCTAAGATGCTAACCATCTACACCAAAGCTGGCAGGCCTGGGCCTGCCAAACAACAATGATGGCTGCAACCAAAAGCTAGCCAGGCATTGTGGCAGGCACCTGTGGTCCCAGCTACTTGGGAGGCTGAGGCAGGAGACTTGCTTGACCCCAGGAGTTGGAGGTTGCTGTGAGGTGTGATGCCACTGCACTCTACCCAGGGCGACAGCTTGAGGCTCTGTCTCAAAAAAATAATAATAATCCTCCTTCACTATTTTTTGTATTTAGGTTTTGAATCCAAATGTACTTCATTCTAAGTTATTGATTCAGAGTGAGAATTGACATTTCCCCCTAAAATTATGCCAGTGCCAATTGTGAATACAATTCTGTTCTTCCCCATTGTTTGGTTCTACTTCTTGGAGATGCATTATATTCTTATTTATAGTTTTGTGTTTTTAGAGCTATCTTTTCTCATCTGTGTATTTGTGCTTATACCAGTATCACTCTGAATTGTTTGATATTTAATATTTTAAAATTCCTTCTGGAAACAGAACTTTCGTTTTAAAGTCAGTGTTTACCTTTTATTTTACAAATTTATATTTTTATTTATAAAACAAAATTGGAAAACAAAATTACAAATTGAATGTCAAAATTGTAATCATATATATATATTTTTTAAGACAGAGTCTCACTATGTCACCCTCAGTAGAATGCCTGTGGTGTCATAGCTCACAGCAACCTCAAACTCTTGGGCTTAAGCAATTCTCTTGCCTCCCTATTTTTTGGTTGCAGTTGTCTTTCTTGTTTAGGAGGCCCTGGTTAGGCTCAAACTTGCCAGCCTTGGTGCACGTGGCTGACGCCCTACTCACTGAGCTCCAGGTGCCAAGCCCATATGTATATGTATATGTGTATATATATATATATATATTTTTTTTTTTTTTTGAGACAGAGTCTCAAGCTGTTGTCCCCAGTAGAATGATGTGGTGTCACAGCTCCCAGCAACCTTAAACTCTTGGGCTTAATGATTCTCTTGCCTCATTCTCCCAAGTATCTGGGACTACAGGTACCTGCCACAACACTCAGCTATTTTTTGTTGTTGTTGCAGTTGTCATTTTTGTTTTAGCTGGCCTGGGCCAGGTTTGAACCTGCCACCCTCAGTATATGTGCCCTGTGCCCTGCCCGCTGCCAACTGAGCCATAGGCACTGCCCGATGGCAATCATAGTTTTAGATGACTACCTTCATTTTGGTATAACAAGCCCATAGAGACTTTAGTTTGTTTTTGTTTCTTGCAGTTTTTGGCCAGGGCCGGATTTGAACCTGCCAGCTGTGGTATATGGGGGCGGTGCTCAAGCCTTTGGTTCTTTGGATTTTTTTTTTTTTTTTTGAGACAGAGTCTTACTTTGTTGCCCTCAGTGTAGTGTTGTGACCTCAATCTCTTGGGATCAAGATATCCTCTTGCCTCAGCCTCCCAAGTAGCTGGGACTACAGGTGCCAACCATAACACCTGGCTATTTTTTAGAGACAAGACCTCACCATTGCTCTGGCTGGTTTGGAACTCAAGAGCTCAAGCAGTTAACCTGTGCCTTGGCCTCACAAAGTGCTACGATTGAGACTTTGCTTTTTAAGAAAGTGAAATTATGGTCTGCATGCTATACCTTCACCTGCTTTTTGTCACCATGGGTAGAGTGCTGTGGCATAGTAGCTCACAGCAACCTCTAACTCTTGGGCTAAAGCAATTCTCTTGCCTCAGCCTCCCGAGTAGCTGGGACTACAGCTACCCAACAAAACTCCCAGCTATTTTTAGAGACAGGATCTCACTCTTGCTCAGGCTGGTCTCAAAATCCTGAGCTCAGGATTATAGGCCTGATCCACTGTGCCTGGCCTCCTTCACCTGCTTTTATCATGCCAAGAGAAACATGATTGCCATTTCAGTAAACATATTTTAATTATTTTTAATGACATTTAAAGACATTTTAAATTACTATTCACATTATAGTTGCCTCCTAATTTTTGCAGTGATAAAGGCTGTCCTATTGATATGACCCCAAATTTACATTAGGATGCTTGTTTTTCTTTTACGGTATTTATTTTCAGCTACTAAAATTATCAACATTTTCTCTTTGTAAACTGTTCTGTTCCTTTTTATCAATCCTAATCCCATTGCCATCTAGAAAGGTGGTAACTGTTACAAAGGTGATGTTTATCCATCCAGATATTTAAATTTTTTTCTCATGTTAATGCTGTTTTATTTCTTATGTATACCTCTGTATAATCATGCTGTATGTATTGGTTTGCTGTGAGGAGACAATGAATTAATAAATGTAAAGTACTTGGAACTATTTTCATCATACAATATGTTTAGTAAAAGTTTTCCACCATTTGTGCACTCATTATCATGGCTATTTCTTTTCTTTTTCTTTTTTTTTTTTTTTTTTTTGTAGTTTTTGGCCAGGGCTGGGTTTGAATCTACCACCTCCAGCATATGGGGCCAGCGCCCTACTCCTTTGAGACACAGGCACTGCCAAAGTATTTTTTTTTTTTTTTTTGAGATAGTCTCAAGCTGTCACCCTGGATAGCGTGCTGTGACATCACAGCTCACAGGAACCTCAAACTCTCAGGCTTAAGCGATTCTCTTGCCTCAGTCTCCCAGGTAGCTGGGACTACAGGTGCCTGCCACAATGCCCAGCTATTTTTTGGTTGTAGTTGTCCTTGTTTGGGAGTCCGGGGCTGGATTCAAACCTGCCAGCTCTGGGGTATGTGGCTGGTGCCTTACCCGTTTGAGCTACAGATGCCAAGCTAATCATGGGTATCTTCATTATTATTTGTGGAAAGGATTTTAACCATGTTTATATTTGTCAACTACATAATTTATAATGGAAAATATCAATAACTTGTAATAAGTATAGGAAAGTCTTTCCTCAACACTCATTATTATCCAGCATGTAATTTAAAAAGGAAAAGAAAAAGTATGTGTGGGTAGTCTTTGTTCAGACTTCATCTTTTGTGGTACACAACGAACTCCAATCTAAAACTCTGTGGATATATGATTTTTTTTTTTTTTTTTGAGACAGAGCCTCAAGCTGTCCCCCTGGGTAGAGTGCCGTGGCATTACAGCTCACAGCAACCTCCAACTTCTGGGCTCAAGTGAGTCTCCTGCCTCAGCCTCCCAAGTAGCTGGGACCACAGGCGCCCGCCACAACGCCCGGCTATTTTTTGGTTGCAGCCGTCATTGTTGTTTTGGTGGGTCCGGGCTGGGGATTCGAACCCGCCACCTTAGGTGTACGTGGCTGGCGCCTTAGCCGGTTGAGCTATAGGTGCCAAGCCGGATATATGATTTAGTAGTTGAAAGTACAGCTGTTAAAAAAGGAAGAGTTAATACTTCTCCCAATAATTAGTTCCTCAAAAAGCAGAAAGCTGCACATGTCACATTCTTTGACTAGAAGTAGTAACAAAAGGATAGCCATCAAATATCTGAATGTTAATTCAGTATCCCCACTTTATTTACATGGGTTATAGATATAAATCCCTGACATAACACATTATTTAAATGTGAATGAAAAGGAGATCACAACTGAAAAACCTGTCAGTAGAAGTTGTATTGAGGGTGGTGCCTATGGCTCAAGGAGTAGGGTGCTGGCCCCTTATACTGGAGGTGGTGGGTTCAAACCCAGCCCTGGCCAAAAAAAAACTGAAAAAAAAAGTTGTATTGAAAGTTTATAGGCCAGGTGTGGTGGCTCATGCCTGTAATCCTAGCACTCTGGGAGACTGAGGCAGACAGTTGGAGCTCAGGAATTTGAAATCAACCTGAGCAAGAGTGAGACCTGTCTCTACTCTAAACAGAAAAATTAGCCAGGCATCACAGTGGGCACCTGTAGTCCCAGGTACTTGGGAGGTTGAGGCAAGATGATCACTTGAGCCTAAGAGTTTGAGGTTGCTGTGAGCTGTGATGATGCCACAGCACTCTACCCAGGGTAACAGAGTGAGAATCTGCCTCAAAAAAGAAAAAAGTTTATAACAATATGCCAATATGCTTACATATTGAAACACTAGAAAGACTAAATAAAATCAATATAGAACCCAAGGAGTGAAAACTAGCAAAAAGGAATTGTGGGAAGAGGATAGTGTTATTAAAGAGGCAGAAGTAAATGAAAGGAGAAAAACTGTATCAAGAACAGAAAATTTGATAACTTGATAGGAGCAAAAAAGAAAAAGGAAACTTTAGTGATTCCAGGGGTGAAATAAGGGTGACAAACCAATAGCATTGTAAATGAGAAGTTGAAATAACCATATATTTAAAGTTGAAAGAACTTTATTTGGGGGGGATGAAAATATTGTGGACTTAGTGCTATAGATTTCACAACTTTGTGACTATACTAAAAACCTCTGAACTGTATGGCATGTAAGTTTTATCTCAATTTATATAGGGTTTCTCTAATGAATTCTGAATAAATCTGCAGTGCAAACACAAACTACCTAAGATATTAGAATTACCCAATGCGATGACAAAGAAAAGCCCACTGTTGTGAATACTGTCGGTCTCAAGAGTCCAATCACTCATTTCCTAAGTGGAGAATAAACAGCCAAATTCTCATTTCCTTAACAGCCACAAAACACTTCAAATTCTGCTAGTTAGTAGCACATTTTGTGAGTACAGTAGTAGAATGGTCACATTAATCTGTGTTCAGTGGTTGGCCCCTACAGTAGTAGAATGGTCACATTAACCTGTGTTCAGTGGTTGGCCCCTACACTGGATACCATTGATAGTGGACCCCATGTTTATCCCAGA